TCAGACAACATTTTGTGTAATTGTGCAGAGATTTTGATGGGACTAAAAATGTAGAAACGAACAGGACTGTATTTTTGCATATTTTCATCCTATCAAAATAGTATACTTTGGTCATATTGGTAAAATAAAGATGTGGCTTTTCAAAAGATGAGTCTTCTTGTTGGAATTGAATCTTGTCTTTCAGGGTTAGCGTGTGACCTCTGGCGTCTGAAGGATAGCTGAAAATATGCTGCCTCTGCCTTGCAGTGACTCTAGCAGACATTGCAACTTGAAAGTGCCCCCCAATCACAGCACGTGTTTCTTGGTTCTTTGCTGGTAATGGGTCAGTACCTGTTGTCTCAGGCACCCAGCAGCTCTGACAAGGAGCAAGTCCTGAGCTCTACTCTTTGCCTGCTGATGCTCAGGGAAGGGGGGTAAGCAGGGGTACAGCTTCAGATGTTCCTCTGCGTCTCTGGCTGTCAGGGTGATTCCCAGTTTCTCTCATGGTCAGTGGTGCCGCTGCTTCAGCTTGATGAGGATCTCAGAAGTTCAGAGAATTTAACAGTGATCCATCCCAGGCTGGGTGTCATGTACACTCATTTTTTAGACCTCAGTACTGTTTCTTTTTCCTCTTCTTCTTTCCAACCTTTTCTCTCAGTTAACTATACACCATCCACAACAGTACACATAATTAGCACACCTACCTTTTTTCTTAGTGCCTCATTTTACTGTCATTGGAGTACATGTCATTTTTCGAATTGCAGTGAGACCATCCTGTTAACGAGCTGACAGTATTATTACCATTGCACTTGAAGGGGCAATGTTTGGGGTTCCATAATGTGGAGAAAAAGTGGCTTTGGGATTTATTTGCAGAAACGTGTGTGCCTGTGCTGCATGGATGGGCCCACTCTGCAGCATGCCTAGTGCTTATTCCTTGCAGCTGAACTGCAAGAGACCCACGGGTGATCCCAGCCAGCCCCAACATGTGAAGAAAAACACATGAGCTTGCTTGTCTGTCCTCAAGTATGCGTATATGCAGCTGTCATGGCTTGCACTGTTGTTTGCTGGCACGCTGGCATTGGTGTCAGTCAGTGCTGCCGTGGGACCTCCTTGCCTTATGCTTTCTCCTCCCCCTCCCTGGCTGCACATTTCCACCCCCTGCAGAACTTCCCACTGGTTGTGTCAGTACTGCTGTGGGACGTGTTACCAAATGAAGCACTGACTTGACTTAAAAAGAGCTTTTAGAAAAAGATCAGGGTGGGAATTCTTTCAGCTGCCATCTCTACTGAAGTTGATGTAATGTCATGAAGTTATGGCCTCAACTAAAGGCTGTTAACTGTTACTGCAGTCATGACTCAGGAACCTGTAATTTCATGTCCAGACTCAAAGAAAATAAGGCTTCTTTATTATCTTAAATATTTTCCATCTTCTAGATTACTTAGAATTTCTCAGACACGCTGAGTTGGTTTCACATTTCTCCAGGTCTAAAATGATGAAGTTGCTCTCCAATTTTTGGGATGCTCCACCAGTGACTTTTCCCACAGTGCTCTTACTCTCCTGATTTATATCTCTAACTGGTGCTTTCTTACATAACCTTACCAGCATTTTGGGGGGAATGAGGGTGGTGAGAGACTTCCTTCAAGGCCACTGCTCTCCTGATTTGGATTAAATTATCTCCTTCTCCATTGGAAACTCTGCCCCTGCCCTCTCACTAAGCAAGTGCAGAGTAAGGGCCAGGGTAGAAGAAGGGCCAGGGTAGAAGAAGCAGTAAGGGAGGAGGAGTGACCCTGCTTCTTCCACGTACCAGCCTGCAGAGCCAGAGGAATACCCGAGTCAGCATGTGAAGGAATTACCTCCCTGGTTGAGTGTGGCCAGTGGGGCAGGCAGGAGGGCTGGCTATAGCCACGGTACCTGCTGTTAGTGCTGGGAGAAGTAATGGTGATTTTCTCAAGGTTATCAGCAGCTCCCTGGGTTTTTCCATCTTGAGACTTGTTTGTTGGAAATGTCGATGTTTGCTCCTTCCCTCCTTTTATTTCTGCTGTATCATGGCCTTGTCATGGATGGGAGCTCAGCATCCCCTACGGAGGGTGCCTGGGTGCCAGACTCTGCCTGATGTACCTTCCCCTATGGTTTAATTCTCAAACACCTGCATTGTTAATACCCATTCACTCCCAGCTGCTGATTTTAATAGAAGAGTGGCTGTATAATACTGTTTAAGGAATGTTGGTGGGGCCAAAGCTTTTTCTGCCTTCTAGTGTTGCTTTCATCTGACTTGGACTGGCCCTTTGCCTTTATAAAGGGCATTTTATGGACCACAGACCCCCAGGAGAGGTCTTTGTGGCCACAAAAGAGATTTGGGGGGTGAGAGACAATAGTGCCCATTTCTGCTCTATTTCCCCCCACTGATCCTTATTCCACCCAGATTTAGGGACAGAATTTGGGGTCCAATGACCAAAGTGTCTGTCAGAAAATTCTTTAGGAAATGCAGGGTTATTTTAAAAACACATCACTGGAAAGAACTAGTTTTATAAACTCTGAAGGAGAATTTCATTCTCTCCTAATTTGAGCGGAGGTTTCAAGGGTACCCTTGAAAACAGCTCCCTCTTCCGGAGCTGTGCACAACTTCCACATTTTGCAGTATCACATAAAACATGGGTGGCATAGTCGAAAGGAATTGCACCGAGGACTTTACGAGGACCACTGAGCTTTATATTCTCTTCCTAGTAATTACAACAAGCAAGAAAAGATGACTGTAAAACCAGGTAAAAGTTTAAAGAATTAAAAGCAAAGTCACAATCTGATGGTAGGAATAACAGCAATGCACCTGAGTGCTGGGGCACAGAGAGGAAGCGGAACAAGAAAACAGTAAAATGCAAAATGGAGTTTAGCTTTCAGCTACCAAAGAAAATAAAAGTTTGAAGTACACTTCAAAATTGATTTAATTATACTCTATAAAGGGTTGAAAATCATTTCAGTGAGTGAAATGGGACTATAAAGACACATCAAAATGTAACATTATTATTATTGATACAGTACGTATTTATATGTGATTAATCTAGAAATTATTCCCAGAGGAGTTTACAATAAGAGATGGACCAATGTCTGACTATTTCACCTGGGATATTTAAGCTCCACTTTGGTGATATTTTTTTTCTAACATACCTTTATTTTATCTTTATCTCAGTGTTAGCAGTTTAGATCTTAATCTAGGTTCTTGAACTCATCTGTCAAAACCTACGGTTGTTATCACTCATCTACACAGAAAACGTAGTTGGGATGATGGTGTGCGTTTTGACCAAAGGCTGCTTGTCACTGAGAAGGTTAGCCTCTTATAAATATTTTGTTAAGGCGTGTGATCATATACCAGAAAAAAGGTAGCATGGAGGTAGCCATGCCAGTAGAAAGGCATAACAGTATATTGCTATAAATTATTCTCCTTATTTGAAATAAGCTCTATTAATACAACCATGCTAGAGTAACTGAATACAACATGCTTTGGATGGGCTTTTTTAGTTAGTTGCTACATATCCCATATCAGCAAAGGCATCAGACTTCCTAAATCCAACGGGCACAAGACCCTCCCATGCTTGTGCTAACCCAGGCAAATCTAGAAAAGCTTTTACACTAGCTTTGTAATGTCATAAGAAAATTAAATTCTTCGGGGGTACCTTTCTGGTGCAGTGTGTCCTAAGAGCATGAAGTCATACCAGGAGAAGACTTGCTGTCCTGTGGGTGGACCCTGGGCCTCCTCCTGAGGTCTGTCACAGGATAATGTGACAAACCCACACCCTGAACACCCCCTTTGCTCATCACTGCAATGCCCAGGAAGGTGCCAGCTGGAGTGGTGCTCACTGCTTCTCCCTGCCCCAACCTGGGGTGTCTGTCCTAGGCCAGACACCACTGTGAGACTGATAACTGTTCTTAGCCTGAAACTGAGAACCTCATGTCATAACCATGTTCATAGCGCATGCGTGTTCAGCAAGCTAATTTTCCAGCTGTTGGTTTCCAGAGCCCATGGGGGCCAGGAGGAGGTTTCCCTGCACTGTGACTCCAGCACAGCAGAGGACAGAGCTGCTGTCATGAGGGCCAAGGCCATTGCACAGCAAGGTGGGAGAGAAGTGCCATTGTCCCCAGCAAACCCGGGAGCTTTACTAAGGACACCCAAGCTGAACCCACTAATGGACGGGGCGGCGGAGGGGGGCGGGTCGCGCTGCGAGGAGGCAGAGTGGCCCCCGGCAGGGTCTGGGACCGCGGGGGGCCCTGAGCACAGCCGGAGATGTCTCTGGCGGCCCTCTGAGCTTGGGTCGTGCCTTCTTCCTTGCACAGTCTGTCAGCCGCACCCTACGGTCGCCTACCACCGGCTTCTCTGATCTCGGTTCCCTCCTGTGGACTCTCCCGGGCTGCTTACAAGGCCTGTGCTAGCTGGAGGAAGGGGGAGCTGGCGCTGACTTCCCGGTGCGGGTGGGGCTCAGCTTTTGTAATTCCTGTCCTGCTTTTCTCTTAGAGCGACTCTGGAAAGTACGGGTTTCTTGTTAGCTGGAGGTGTTCGTTCTTGCAGATGAACTTGTTGTCATGAGTACCATGCTCTCCCGTTGGGAGTGTCAGCTCGTACTGCCTGTGATTACTTGTTTCTGCTAACTGATATAACGCTACTAGTGTGTGCCCTAGGAAGAGACAGACAGGCTCCAAAATTTGCAAGACAGAGGTAGTATTGAACTTGACTAGCTGAGAGCTCTTTTGCCTGTCAAATACGCCCGGGTGTTACTAATATATGTAGATAGCAGCAGCAATGCTTTAAGATGTATTTTCCTCTTACAAGATAAATGTTTAAGAAGTATTTTTATGAAGTTGGGAAGACACAGTAGTGGCAACCCTCTTCTCTGCAAGCTTTCCCATATTCATGTGGTAGGCTGGCTTTTCTTATTCTGCATTGCAAATTATAGGGAAATTATTAAATGATTGCTTATATTTGGAATTTGTTAATTTTCTTGCAAAATGTAAAGTAACATACTATTATCCTTTTTTACATTCTTTTTCAGAAAAAGTCCCTAGAGTCCATAAACTCTAGACTTCAGCTGGTTATGAAAAGTGGTAAATATGTGCTAGGATACAAACAGACTCTGAAAATGATTCGGCAGGGCAAAGCCAAGTTGGTCATCCTAGCCAACAACTGTCCTGCTTTGAGGTAAGCAGATGTATTTAAAAGCAGGACAGATTCTCTGTACAAATATGGTATGTTATGTCATGTTAATTGCTACAGCAAATTATTATGCAGAGTACTTTGGAATATTCCAGAATGCTATGAAATAAAAGTGATGGATTGTTTGATATATAATGATTTTGGGTCTGGATGTGTTGAAATGCTTTCCAACATTTTTCTACCTTTCTAATTCAGAGAGTTTGCGCTAGTGAAGATACTGTAAGCTTTTCACGCTGTGATAGCGTTCATTAAAAGTATAGTGGGGCTGAATTCCTATGTTTTTTCAAAGTACTGTATTGGAAAATAATTTTACAGGTAAGGAAACTGGTATTGACAGTGTTTTGAAATATTTGAAGAACAGAAAATTTGCTGTCCAAGTTAGTTATAAATTTAGGTTCCTGGTTAGTGAAATTGCTTTTTTGAGAATGAAATCTTCGCTAACTTCCTGACAGTTTCCTTGTTAAATTTCTGGCCCTTTTTGTCACCAAGGGATATTGACAGATTCAAGAAACTAAACGCAGAAAACCAAAATTAGATACTTGAGAAATGGCGGCACTGTTAACAGTAGGCAGCATGTTAGTGGGAATCCCAAAAGTGCCTGAGGAACAGTATTTACCACTAGAATCTCCTGATGGAAGTCAGAAGAGAAGGGAATATAGATTGACTTTTGTTTTTAAAAGCAATATACAGTTTCTTTAACAGCTAGCAGCAGCCTCTGGGTATCGGCATTAATAATGATTGTCACTTATGTACTTTGGCATAGCTCCTACAACCTTTTGGAAGTCTGTAAGTCCTGAATCCCCTTCTTCCCTGTAGAAATGAACATGTGTAGGAGCAACCTTAAGGATTTGCACTCCAGAAGTGGGTGTGCTGTTGAATACCTTAAGCACACTTCTGGATAAGGGTTCCTGAGCTACAATGCAGTAGTGATATTGTCTGGCAAGGAACAGATGCGGTTTTCTGAGTGGGAAGGAAAACTGTAAAGTTTAAGTGTGATTAGAATTAAAGCTGCTCTTGCTGTTTTATAGTCAAATCAGAATCCCCTGTCAGTCCTGTAACACCTAGTTTTTTAATTTCAGAAAATCAGAGATTGAGTACTATGCTATGCTTGCCAAGACTGGTGTCCATCATTATAGTGGCAACAACATTGAACTGGGCACAGCATGCGGAAAATACTACAGAGTGTGCACACTGGCCATCATTGATCCAGGTATGTCTCTTGCAGTATAGTAACCAACTGGGGACATATCAGTGGTTCCTCTGTTTACCTGTGAGTAGCAGCACTGAGCAAGTAATATTCAGGGATGATGACACACTTTGCTGTTCTTTTCTGTCAGGTTGAACTCTTTAATTACAGTTTCTCTGATCAAGATCCTGTTCTTCTGTGAGTCCTAGGGTCTTAGAACCTGGAATTATGGCTGGTTATGTTTGCGTATGGCTCCTTTTACTGCTAAATCCTGTGAGCATTCATAGTCTGTAATTCAGTGGCTGGGAAGCAACTTCATGGTACATGTTTCTGAGCCCATCAGTTAGAATGTGAGCTTGTGCAACGTGCTGTTTATATCAACCTTGTTTGATGTTAATCTAAGACAGGATTGTGAGTGGTTTTGCTTCCCAAAATGATATATATACAGAAATAACCTGTATGCAGGTGGATACTAATCCAGGGTTGAAAATCATATTAAAAATTCCATTTTAAAAGTGTAAGCACTCTTTGTCCCAGGGTTGCTCAAGTTCCTGATACAGACTGCTCATGAGGTGACTTCTCAACCTCTTTCCAGAATCTTCTAAGAGAAGAATCAATCTTTTGTTCTGTTGATCAAAATACAATACACGTGGACTTGATTTCTTTAACTTTCACCATATGTTCCCCAAATTACATTGGTTTGAATATGATGTTTATTCAGAAAACTACTTAGCTTGCTTGTATTCAAATACGAGCTGTAAACATGATTTTCAAAATGTTACTTCTAGGTTTCATTCTGGGTGGGGAAGGAACTGCAAGTTTTACCACTATGTAATGCGAATATTCTCGCTGTCCTGATATTTTCGTGATCAGGGGAGGCTAGACATTCGCTATATTAAAACTATGCATTGTGTCCTCCAGGACTAGATTGTTGCTCTAGTACTGGCTTTGTAAATGCTAGTAACAGGTACATAATTACTGTAAAAATATTTTGTATGGATTAGCACAGTAGTTACAGGTATATTTAATTGAGCCATCACAATGACTTTTTTTGAAACAGACTATTGTGGTTTTTATTTGTGGAATCAGTATGTTAGAGTCTTTTTTATTTTCTGGTTTATTTCTGAAAACAGATTTTTCTGTGGATCCTCTTGTAATAATATATTTTTGTTTTACAGGTGACTCTGACATCATTAGAAGCATGCCAGAACAAACCAGTGAGAAGTAAATGCTGTAAAGTGTTATTTCTACAATAAAACTGGTTACAGATGTGTTTTACAAAAAATTTGTATTATACCTTTGCTGGTTTTAGGGCACATACTATATAAATGAAGATTGATTACCACTGCTGTGTTTCCTGTTCTGTTAGAAATAACCTTCACAGGACAAAACTCACTGTTTTCTTTCTCAAGAAGTTGTGGATCTTGAGAGGTAAGTGGAGGAAGACTTGATCATGGCAAGTATGGTGCCAAATCCCAATAGTCTAGGTCTGCTCTAATTTTCAGTTTTGGAGTGCTAATGCAAAAACAAGACGTAATGTGAGGTACAGTAGCAAATTTAGGATATTGGTGGGGGATCTCAAGGGATTTACTTACATTTTAAAAATTCACACTATTTTTACCAAGTCAATCACAAAGTACTAACGCAAATTATCCCTTTTTCCTTCTGAGAGAATATATATAAATAGCAAATAGGATAGCTGCTAGACATTGAAAGTATGATGTTACATATCCCAAGATACCACCTAAGTTCTCAAGTCTAACTTTAAATTAGTACCTTTTTTAGTTTTCTGAAGATGTTACGTTAAAGACAGATGAGTTGGATGTTTTCAAGTCACTATTGTTGAGGACACTATCTTTACAGATCTGTGCTTGTTTTGTGCAAGACCGTGCCTGCAGGATGTTCCTTATTACTAGTGATTATTAATGGAGGTGCCAGTGCTTTGCTGACATGCAGTAAAAGAAACACCTAATGAAAATCATATGTACCGGTATCCTTGCAGGACTTGCATTCTGTTTGCCAAAGTATACTAAAGCACAAAGTACCTTTTAAAGCTTGCTGCTACCTATCCATGCGCACTCATTAGCTTATGTGAGATCACTTCATCTAGTTTTGCTGCAGCTGTTTCTGCTTCAGGTATGGAATGCATGAAGTTGTTTATTTCCATTTGGAGATAGTAAAGAGGCAAACCAACATGTGTCAGAGCAAAGGAGGAAGTGCTGGTGTCACTACCTATTAAACCACAGGTCTGGATCACTTCAAGAGATAGTTTAGATACTGCTGTTAGTGTGGAAGTAAAGCTAGCAGAAGCATACTGTTTTCTGCCAAGGGAAAGAAGTAAAACTTCAAGGCATTTCAATTGGCCTGAAAGGATGGAAGCAATTTGCTGTATTTGTCTTAGTGTTTGATGGACAGGCATGCAGCTATTTGTATTGCCCAAAGAATGTTTTCATCAATTAAATACTAGTTGCATTCAGGAAAGTTAGAGAATCATTGAATGCTGACGGAGGAACAGCAGGGAGAAGTTACATGGTCTGGATGTGATAAAAGAAACTTCAGATTATGACACCCTGATAATCCAGCAGACTTCCAATTTGTGCTTTTACTTACATTACAGTTTCAACACAGATGTATAAATTTGCATTTTTACTTCCAACTGATCTCAGTACTCATTTGAAGAATGAGTGAAACCAAATTGCTGTGAATGTTGTCCCACTTGTTCTGTTTTTATATATGTATGTATATATAGAACTGTATATATGCACACAGACAGGGTGCTTAAAATACTAGCAGAGTAAAGGAGGGAAACGCAGAAAAGCAAGCCAAGTAAATTCATACCCTAAAAGTATTTCAAAACATGGTTACACTTCAAAAAATAATTGTTTTATTATTTTGCATAGCTTATTTCAGTTGTTTAGTTTTGCTTGATTAGAATTTTTGCTAGTTACTAAATTGTTTATATGTATAAAATTTTCAACATTTCTTATCTGCAATCAATGCAAGACAGAACACATAGTATATAGATGCAGGGATTTAAAATCTTTGCTACTTCAGACATGTGGATGATTTGTTCTACTTTGAACCAGTTTAAGAAAATCGTTCTGACAAGTTTGTATGTATAAATATACAGTGTAGTATACACTTTTAAATTCTGGTCAGTATTTTAGCCTGTTTTCCAAGTCTTCCATTCTCTTCGTCATTTCTTCCAGTAGACAAAAGTTAAGGAAAGGGAGGTACTGATAGGATGCATTAATAGAAGTGTCAGCTGACTGACTGCTATGGTCCATTAACATTTGTTTCTACTTTTTGTTATCTCTGACTCACAGTAGTTTCTGATATCATAGTCCCCTGTATTTTCCTGTTCTGCTTCGATCAGCTGAGGTGAGAAAGCTGTGTGAAGCCCCATTTGTTGACAGGCATACCTTGACATGAAGTTCAGGCTACAGCTTATTAAAAGGGCTGGTGGGTCTGAAAACTGGCCTCTTTTAAAGAGAAGCTAAATACTTATCCTAGTTAATGCTATTAAAAGAATGTTTCACTTAATCACATGGAAGACTAGCTAACAGTGAATTACAAAATAGTACAGACTCTATGACTGAAGTAGGAATGTCTGCTGATCTATTCCTGCCTTACAGTGGTGTAGCATAGGGTACTGTTTTCACAAAGCCAGTGGTTCCAGACAGATGTGGAGTGGAGCAGAGGCAGTTTCATGGGATCTGTGACTGGCTCCACTGAAAGTAAGAAGCTGTAGCAATGTAAAGTGGTGTACAGCATCACTATCCTAATAGCACCTCCCGCTGACAGGAGTGTTCTGTCAGTGGCAGGAGATTGGTTTGCTACTATTCACCTGACCAACTTTCTCCAAGAGCCATAGTAAGGCTGGAGCTAGGGGAAGCTGAGAAGAAGAGGGGACCTAGCATCAAGAGAAAACTGAAGGACTGAGGCCCACCTTAAAAGGACTAAGTTACTGCACCCCACTCTGCTTGTTTGCTTAGTGTCTTGATTTCAGTGCTTTAAGATCTTGCACAAGGGAACATGGAGAACCTGGCATAAAAGTGGGATATTAGACAAGGGTCTGTTAGAAATTGGTTAGGATAGACAGGCAAATTTGAGTTGAGGCTCTGAGGTTGGCCAGAACAGCCATGTGGCCCCCCCATCACATTGACAGCAGGAGAATCTACCCCCTTGCTAGTAAGGTGCAAGAGTGGGAGTCCTGCTTCTGTGGGGACTAGCCTGCCCATACATCAGGTTTGTGTTTGGTAATTCCTCAACTGTCATGCAGAAGGGATTACTATGTGCATGCTAGTGTCATTTGAGGTGCTTTTTATGCAACATCAATGTTTTTCAAGTGTTTACAGAGGAAAAGTTCAAGCAGTAGAAACTGCATTCATCTGATAGTTAAATGTAGTTGGGTACAAATAAGTTTGGATTGGTCACTCTGAATTTTATGTTCTGTAACGAGCTACTTTTGTAGCCAGTTCTCCCTCTCCCCCAGATACCATCTGAAGAAATAATGCAAAGCAAAGAGTGTTAGTCTTGAATCCAATGTGTCATTTTGCTGTCCCTGAAGGGGACTGTTGTTAGGAATTATTAAAATTTAAGATCCTTAATTAATATTTTGGTCCCTTCTGTGAAGGAGAGGCAGATTTCAAGTCTTAAAAGCCTTGCGTCTTGGAGTTTAACTATCTATTACGTAGTTTAGTTTTTCATTACAGTAGATTGATGTGAGTTATGGAGACAGCTTAGACTTGATGTGTTTTAGATTCCTGTGACCTGCCCCCCCCTTGTCTTGTATGTAAGAAACAATTGTTCTTAAAGGATATATCGCTGAGTGAGTTTTCTTACTTCATTGGTTGCATAGTTCTGAAATGTCACAAGGTTTTCACATTTGCACTGGTCTTTATCTTTTGAAGCTGTTGCTGAAAAACGGAAACAGTCAAGCATAAGCTAAATGCTGAATAAATTGAAAGGGATGGGGGAGGAAATGACAAGGACTTATAAATGCAGAGCAGGTTTAATACAGCTTCCTGTTCTCAAATCAACATCCAAAGGAATGCTCTGGGGCAGATTTTGTAAATACTGGAAAATAGTACACAACATTCAGATCTGTATTTAAAGAGCAGTCTGTATTATTCTAAATGAAGGTAACATGATTACCTGTTGAGTGAGTGTGACTGTCTTCAAAAAGATACTTGTGGTGTACTGCAAGATTGGGACAGGCAATGACATCTGTGATGGCTATTGTGGTTGATTCAGGTCCTGCAGGAAACCCCCCAAAACTCTAAAAATCAAACCCACTTTGCTTAATTACTCAGTAACTTTTTTTTCTACTCACATGCACAGAGTTCTCCTTAATTAGTAATCTCACTGATTGCAGTGAGGATCATTCATGGAGAGGACTAGGGATACAAAGATGTGAAAGAATCGAGCTGTTAGGCTGCATTTACTGTATACATGATATAAGTTGTGGGTTGCAGAACTGAAAGGGAGTTGTGAAGGTTCCTGTGAGAAACAGAAGTGATTTAAAGCTGAACATGCTTTGAAATATCAAGCACAGTATTGAAATACAAGTTTCCCCATGAAATAATTCATTTGGATGGTGTAAGAAGCATGCAGCCATGCGTTTGTTATGGTGAATCTCAAATGTTTTGTACAAAGCAGGTTTGAATTACAGAAAGGAGGGTGGCTTGGAGAAAGGTAAGAAGGGGAATGGGATGAACAGTTCTCCTAGGTGAATTGTTAGGGTTCTCTACAGAAGGTGGCATGAAAAGGCCATTTAGCAATAATATGGGGAGACAGCAGGACACCGAGTTAAACAGCCAACCTGAAGGCTGTGGACCAGTCTTACGAAGTCTCCCAGATGCTGGATCCTGCTGGTGAGCTGACATTTTCAAGGCTGGTAGAAAGAAATTGCCAAAGGAAATGAGATCACAAAATAAGCAATAAAAATGTTCACATTCCCTAGAAGCAGAGAGGTTTCTTACTAGTGACTCAGTGTTTTTGTGTCATAACACATGGAGAATGCTTCATACCTGTGCAGTTTAGAAGAGGTTCAGTGTTGATGGAAACTCCAGGACTCACCCTTCAACTCAGACTATTGGAGGAACTCCTCCAAAACCAGAAGCGCTTTACAAATTGATTAATAGTAGTGAAGCAGTCTGAAATGACAGCAATCCACTTTGTGTCCTTTATTGAAAATTCTTGCATGTCATCCATCAATCCTTTGGGGTGAACTGAATACAACGTCTTGGAGAAGAATGAAATTTCTTACTCTCCTTCAATTTTCCCCTTTATAATGGGAAACATTGATGAGGGTGTTGGGAGTGTTGAGAAGGGTGCAGTAGG